TCGCCGTACTTATTCATCCATCCACAAAGATGCGAAGAGATGAGGGGGTTCCCACAGTTGAAGCATCCCCTCAAGCTCCCTCTCTGACGGACACCATCTTTCACTCTCTCTCAGGGACATCTTGGACTGCTAGTATGGGGTCCCAATATTTTGCCCATCGGCAACCTAAAGTGGAAATTTCAAACACAGATTTGGTAGGGTGTAGTTCTCGTGTCGGACTATCGGCACATAAGTGGCAGTGGAGGAGGGTACGGATGGCGCGAATGGCTGACGGGAAGGGCTGGTGAGAGGTTTACGAAGGGTCTCAAGGTTGAAGAAGAACGAAACAGAAAGCCGCGTTTGGCGCGCTAAAAGGTGAGCAGCAGAAAGTGACTTTATCGACCGAGGTGTGTGAAAATCAATACCCTTTGCCGCCTGGTCCGCGGTGAGCAAGTAAGGATTTGCTCCAGCGCTTTGTTGATTGCTCGATTGAATAGGGGACTATGCATAAATATTGGCAAATTGTGGGAGTCGAAGACGGCGATTTGTGTTATTGGTGTTTCTTGGTTGGTTGTTCAAGGAGGGGGATTGACGTTTGGATATGCTAACATGGGATGGATTGGAGTGCATTGCGCGAGCAAGCCAAGGGTACCTACACATCACCCCTGGTTTAATTGCTAGCTCGGTACATACAGGGGTTTTTGACAGGGGAATGACAAGGGGGGTGACAGGGAATAAAACCAATAGATTTGCGCATGTGGAGCCTTCGGATTTTGAATTGGGAGAAAGAAGTAACGGAAAATCAGTTAATTTACTATACTAAAACTAGGGAAAGCCGAGTACCTTTTTGTACCCGTTACAGTCAATTAATATTAGGTATATCCTCCTTTCGCCTTAATGACTGCCTAAATTCGTTTAGGTATTAAGTATATTAATTATAGAAGGTAGTCTTCTAGTATAGTTTCCTATACCTATAATATAGTAGATTTGAAGGTTAATTTAATTAGCTATATTAGATATTTACATTTAATCTAATTTTTTATTTAATTTTAAATATTTTTAATAGGGTTGAGGTCGGGGGAGTGAGGGGGCTAGGGGATAACCTTTACGGAATTAAAAATTTGAATTATAAACGCTTTTATTATTCGTAAATTATAAGACGGCGTATTATTCTATACGACGTGAAAGGACGAATTTTGTAATTAAAATTAGTATAAAAGAGGGATAATGTATTTTTAATATAATTTGGCAGTAATAATACTCCAGTTCTTATAGTTTTAGAAAACGAAAATACCTTTTATTTTACTTATAAAGTAAACTTAAAATATTTATCCCCAAAATCTCAATTTAATTTTAGTAAAATCGTCAATATTTTCGTCTTTGAAGAGGGTAATAAATTAACGGCTTTTATTAATATTATTTACCTACGTTTTATTAGACTAAATTTAGGATTCCTATTTAAATAGGATAAGGTTAGTTTATTATAAAGCGAATTTAAAATAAAAATGATAAGTCCTTTTATTAAGGAGGAGGCGTATAGGTTATTCTATACAATAAATACCCTACTATTCTAAAGCGGTTTAAATAGTGCGTTCCCTGTATGGCGTAAGTTTAGGGATACGCTTTTTAAATTCCCCTAAAGTAAGGAAGCGTTTGGATTTTATAGGGGTATTAATATCATAAAAAATAATATTTTTAATAATAGGAAGAATAATAAATTGCCGGTTATAGGTATTATATTTAGGGATATTAGTAGTAAAGTATATATATTATACTTATTTATTCTTAAATTAGAATTTAAATACTAATAAGCTTTAATTAGAAGATTACTAACCTTATAATTAGGTTAAAACGCTTAGTAATAGCCTTATACTCTATATTAGTATATTACTATAATACTTTATAAATAATATACTCTTCGTATATAGTAGCGGTAGCCTTTTTCTTTTTAAGGGACTATCTCCCTATAAAAAATAATTCGGCGGGGTTAATTAATAAGGAGAAGGAGGTATTAGCGCCGGGCGAGGGTAATAATAGGGGGTTTTATAGTAATTGTGCGGGTAGTATGTAAGTATTGCGGGTTCGGTTTAATTAATATTATAATTGAGGCGGAGTAGGATTTTTGAATTTAGGCGATAATAATTGTAAGTGAGGTGTTGAAGATAATAGTTAATAATAAATAATATATAATAATTATTTAGAAAGCCGATATATTAATTAGGTACGGCCGTAGTAGTACGGCGGTATAATAGGGTAAAAGGAAGGATTTATAAATTATATAGTAGGCTCCCTACTTTAGTACTATATTTACTATAATTATAATTTAATTTACGTATATAAACAAAGCTTTTATTATTATTAATAAAAGTATTACTATCTTCTTTTTAATATTAAATTCCTTTATTTTAAAGAGGGGGTTAAGGGTTGAGAATTTAGGGGAGTTGATAAGGTATTAGGATAAAAGAGGGTTAGTAAAGTAAATTAAGTAAAAGAGAGTAAGAGAGAGGGTTGTATGTGAAAGAGTGGATTTGAGCGGGAGAGGGTTGTGTATAACTAATTGGTTAATTGCTAGTATTTGCCTATGTACGGGCTAGAGGGTGGTATGTGTATGAAGTAAATATGTATTTTAAAGTTTTAAATTTTATTAATTCTAATTAAAATCTAGTATTTATACTACTTTTTAAATTTATTTAGGTAATCTAAGTAATTTATATACTTTTAGTTAGAATTATAATTTTTAAAAAAATTATTAATTTACTAGCTATTTTAGCGAGTGATCCTAAAATCTAATTAGTTAATTAAGCTTAAGTGCCCTGTAAGTACGCTGTAACTTTACTGATTATAGAAGGTAATAAAGGGGTTCTAGGTAATTTAGGTAATTTTGAGCCAGTATAAGAAGGATTGTATGTGTGTGCTCTGTCAATTCGTTCTCACTTTGAAATTGGTCGATTTCAATTAATCAGAGGTTGTAAATAGATGTGTCCCGCCTTACAACCCCCCTTGTAAAAATATGTAGGGTAGGAACTACGTTAATAATTAAATAAGGGTTAATGTGTATGTACTGCGTATAAGGTCAAGAGTGGAGTCGCTATCGAAGTAGTACCAGAAAATACCCTGTACGTATGGGGAAGTGCACAGACTTCTTTTGTTCTCATGATATGTACCCAGACTGCAGCAATTCATCCAAAAATCCTCCTCTTGGGTCAGCCGAGAAGCGAGACGGTGGGTTTCCAGCAAGATGTTGAGGTATTGGCAGACACACCGGACCAAATGCTTAGGGTGGACTCTCACTCAAGAGTCCCGTGGGTTTGACACGCGATGAAGATCGACATGCTTGTGATACTCTTCACAGGTTTTCAGTGTCCAAATCATCAAGACAGCGAGGCCCGGCCAGTTCAGACGTGAGCCAGAAAGGAGGGAAGCTCGACCAGAGTGAATTGAAGGATCTAAAGCAATGTTGATGCGCTTGTAATACCCGCGGGAATAACCGTGGCGGCGAAACGGCAATTTCCAAGTGCCGGAGTCTGATCCCCTCTGTCGATCTTGTATGAAGTGCGTGCGGAGTACGACGTCGTGTAGTTGCTAGTGCCGATACTGGAGACAACGTTGCTGAGGTCTCGAAATCTCTCAATCCAGTAAAACGACAACGGAGTTGACGAGTTCCGTTCTGGTTGATTGGTTGTGGAAAGTTGTCATTAGGTCCCTTTTAATCAAGGAAATGTTCATTCTGCCAATGGAAGAGACAGGCAGCAGACCCGTAGATAACAAGCCCTACCTGTAGCCTGCTAGCGACTGGGTAAACAAGCGGGAAGCTGATGTACGGTGAGAGAGTGCATCTCTTTGGTGAAGCGGTCTTGATATCGTTGATTAAGTTTGAGGCCTTGCAGTTGGTATCACCAGTTCCGTTCAACTGGCCGGTGTCGGTCCGGAATGTTCGCTCACCGGTGCGCCTTCCGACTGATAAGGGTGCGTCCGTCGCTAAGGAACCGCCGACTCCGGACTGGAAGGAGCGGCCTGTCTAGGTGAACTTGACTGGCCTGGTCACCTTTCTTAGACGGTTTTGCATTTGGGGCCACAAGCAGTGAAACCGTCGGTGTGAAGATCGGGGGCACGCAACCGTCAATCATATGGTTGATGGTCCACATGGGTTTATTCGCGCGGAGTATCTTCAACTGTACCATAGTTCCTCGGGTAGACCCGCGTGCTGCGTTGGGGTTGATAGCCATTCATTCCATGTCCACGACAGGTGATGTGCTCACGATTGTCCGCACGATTATCCGCACCTTATCTCAGCCCAAGGGGGCAGGAAAGACATGTAACTTGCATTGCATCAACGCTTGGCTTTCAAGCTGGCGCTTTGGTACTAAGTCTGGCGGTCAGTGGATATCGCCAGCGTTTCTACCTCTGACCAGCCTGGCTTCTGTGGACAGAAGGCGCGTGCAAAGGAGACAACGTTTTACTGGAGAGAGTCCGAGGGTACGTTACCGAATGGTGTTGATATCACCCCTTCCGTAACGCTGCAAGTACCATGCGGTCTGGAGATGGGAGACGTTAACGATAACGGTGGATAGTAATCAACTCAGGTGGTGTATCTCTAGGTACCACCGTTTGCCAATGAGGCCGTCATGAGAGCTGGCTAAGGCGTACTCATAAGGGCTGCTTATACAAGTAGGTGGGCGAATGGTAGGTTCGTGAAGGACAAAATGAGTCAGGCATTGAACGCATGCCATAGCACAGTCAGCCGGCCAAGTGATGAATGACGCTCACGTCTCGAATTCAGGTTTGAGTGTCTCTGTCCAACCATCCATCACAACTCGCAGTGCCTCGTTGCCAGTGAAATGAGATAGCGACCTGAAAACGATGCATACAGAGCCTATGATTGTGTCCCAGGCGCCTAAATTCAAGCGTCCAGTCCGAGCTCGCATACGACATGGCCCAGTATTGCGTGAACTTACCAGGCCGCTGGGATGGGAAAGGATCTTGATTGTGCCTTGGGGATGATGGTGTCACAAATAGGATAGATCACGACGGCGCCCACTTTGCCCCCCTCACCCACCAACTGTGGTCGCGAGATGCTCCCAAAAGCAGCAGCAGCTGAATCATCAAAACCCCCCCACAGACCGTGAGGCCGCCCCCACGTGCTGGGCGAGGCGCTGATGGGTGACAGCGAATCCCCAGATTTTCCCTTGCCGGAAGTGGCCCGCGGAGGCCTGGCAGCTGAGCACCCGTTTGATTATGGAGTCGTTCTTCCTTTCTTCTGTTGTCGATGGACACTTTGCTGTGCACCGTTGCAAGTGACAGGTCAGCCTCGTTATCAACAAACTCATCGTGAGATTGGCGTCTGGAACGTTGATGGCGCTGCGTAGAGTACCCGGAGTGGTCTGTCCGTTGAGCAGTTGAAATTGGACGGCGGCCGGGGAACATTAGGCGAGGCCAAAAAAAAAAAAAAAAAAAAAAAAAAAAAAAAAAAAAAAAGCAGCGAAATCACAGTGTCGGATGTCGCTCCGGCTGGTCGTCTTGTTCTTTCGGCACCTTGTCCGGTGTGCTGCCCTGACGAGGTGAGGTGCCTTTGGAGAAGGTGAACGATCTCGAGCGCGGTGACCTGTCGCTAATCGCGAGCTACTATCTACACTACACTTGCGCTACGGCTTCCGGGGACACCAATCCGACGTTAGAGGATGATCGGCGGTGATGTAAGATGGTCGCCGGTCCTCTTCAGGTGCCTGCCAGGCCTGACAGGCCTGCTCGGCCATTTCGTTCGGTCGGACACTTGTGGGAGCCATGCCCTTTGCGAACCGGGTTGTCTGTCGGACCGGGCATGCCTCCGACTTCCATTTCGCTCCAAAGGCCGCCCTCCCTTACCGCCAGCGCATTCGCCCTGCCTCGGTTCTCCTTTCCTGCTGTAACATGGCCTAGAGGCCTCTACTGCACAGCCGGAGTCAAGACAAGTTCCAAGGCCAATGGAATATGAATCTTGCGGCAGTCCTACAGGAGACGTCGGGCGACATTCTTATCCGCTACATACGACAACCTCATCGGGACCGAGTAACACCAACGAATGATGTCGAACCTCGTCAACCCCAGGTTTCCCGGACCTCTCTCAGCTCTCCGCGGCGGCCACAGCTGATGAAAAGCAAGGCGAGCGCGTTCCAGCTCCTGCAGATGATTCCAGACTTGCCAAACTAGGAAGCTCGCCAGCGTTCGCCAACGCTCGCTTAAAAGTCTGCGAGAACGCTATTTCCCATGTGCTCGGGTCCTATGTAATTACGCAGATATTCGCAGGGGACCCAGCCCCATCAGAGATGTTTGAAGTTTGATCCCCTCCCCGAGGCTCCTCTTGAAGAAATGGAAACAGAGCCGGTGGCCGCGGCAACAAGGTTGCAGGTCGAAGCTCGGTCGCGGGGCTATTCCGCAGTTATAGAAAGCCACCAAGACGCACAACTGGAGCCCTTCTTCGGGCCTTCCATGCTTCCAACACAGTAGCGTTGTCATCCAAGGCATAAGCGAGGACCAGGGATCCTGTTCTTCCTCGTCCCCCGATGCCTGTCCGTTGTGAATGCCTTCCTCTTTCAGTCAATCGTTCCTTGTTGTCTTGTCGAGCTCGTCATGACCGTCATGTCCTGACGCGGGAACGGTCGGTGGTCGCCGCCACGGTGAGCCCAAGCATAGTAGGTTCAAGATATGTATGTGAACGGTGAAAGATGGGAGCAGCATGTGAAACTTGAAGTGTTGTAGTGCACAGCTTACACCAGAGAAACACCGGAAACACAGAGGATCTCTGGCAATAAGCCAGAATAGAAACGATAATAACCCGGCGCTTCGGAACGATCGACACGGCAATCTGCGAACCTTCTCCGAGTCCGGGCAATGTACGAAGACGGTCCGTTAGCACTCAGGATACTGTAGTGAGTGCCCGTTTTCCCCGGATTTTCAGATGGCTGTCTCATCAGGAGTATCAGATGATAAAATACGCGGTATAACCGCGAGATTAGCACAGGGGGGAAGTGTCAAGGGATGTGCGCTTTGTGTCCTCTGTGGCATTAGATACGGACGACACGTTCACGAACGTCCTCACCGTTAACGCCCACGCGTTGTCCATCAAACTCGGCTACACCGCGACATTGCAAGGAGCAAGAAAATTAAGCTTTCACTTTGTTTCAGCGGATCGACCCTTCCGATGCTCCCCGTGGCTCCCAATTCGTGGACTTGTGGCCCCCCCTTCCTCTCATGCCCTTGCCGATGTAACGGACGGTGGATCCAGGGAAATGCGTGCGACGGCGATGACGGATGCAGCTCCCGGGACCCCAAACCCTTGGGCATCCGTCGCCAATTCCAGACTTTTTCATGAAGCTGGGCCCAACAACACACCCCAACAGGCCCTGACGGTGGATGTGGTGGTGGATGCTGCCGTGAAGCAAAGTGCAGAATTTTCTTCTCTCCTTTCCCTTTCCCTGCTTCACTCCCCTCCAGTTCCGCCCTAACTGCTACTGTACCAGAGCGACAGGGCCCAAGGCGGAACAAGAACCGGTGTGATTGCTGATTGGACCGCGGATGCTGCGCACCAGTGTTGATCGATAGCCGTCGCAATTAGCCTTATCCACTCTTGAACATCCATGTTTTGTATCCTCAACTTGCTAATTTGGCCCAATCACAAAAGCGGAATGGAATCATCGACTCTTGCAGTGTACACTAGTGTACCAGCACAAGCTCGGCCATAGCCAAACACCAACAGCGTTGCAGCAAAGCAAGGTGGTGATGGTAATGGTGGTGCGAATAACATCAAGCAGGGAAAAATATATGGAAAAAAAAAAAGGCGGTCAATCAGTGTGTAGGTACTTAGGTTGCGTCATTCACCCTTTTGCACGTCAACCAGATTCACGTTTCAGATGATTTTTTGACGGCTTGCTTGCTGGATTTTGACAGGCTGCCCTGCCCTTGGCGCCGCCCGTGAGTTGTTCATCTGCCGCGTCGCGGCCGCTACATCATCAATCATACATCCACGATATGCAGCATATGCAGACGCATAGGCAATGTACCGACAGTAGCATGCGTCCGTCGACGGTTATCCGCCCGAAGCACTGTTGCAGTCGGAGCGCCGTTCCGACTCCTGTATCTTCACATTGAATCGGCAAACCGGTCTGTAACAGGACCGAGACTGGCAGGCGGAACCAACGGAACCGGGACGGGGATACTATGGGGAACTACCACGGTGAGACCCGGATTCGATACGGCCTTAAAGGCGGGTTCCAACACACACAAACACGTTTCCGGGTTCAGCCAAGACACGGAACTGAAAACGATAACGTTCGTTGCATGACCACGCCTCCCGTTATCCCGTACACTACTACACTACACTTTCCATATGGTCTTGCTGGACGAAGCCGAGTAATGCCCGACGGCGACGAAGAAAATGAACCCCGCCTTCATCAACACAAATCAACCCTCGCGACGGGAAACGGTAACCAAGTGGGAGACCCCAATATGGGATAAAATACAACTGACCTTTTTTAAGCAACCATCGGACTTTCGCCCAATGACCACAATTCTGCACTATATACCCAGATCTGGTAAGGCGGCCGGCTACACCTATTTGATGAACAAAACCAAATTCCGCATGTCTTGCCGGTACACTACAAACCATTGCCGAAGCCACGCGGATGCGTGATAAGCGAGCCTGTCTGCCCCTCTTCCGAGGACGGCGACCATCATAGGTAACCAGGACCGCGGTCATTGATCCCGTCTCGCGGAAGAGCCGGAAGACGTGGAAAGGGAAGGATATGGATTTCAGGAGGAGTCCTACGAAGATAATCTCAAGCCACTCACCGTGAGACTGACGGGGGGGGGGCCTCCACATCATCCCCGCGCTATCCCAAGAAGAGGCATTTGTAGTAGTGTAGTGGGAGAAAACCCCCCTATTTTGGACATCGGGACTGGAGGCATTACCGCAGCTATTTTGCAGTGTAGACTAGTGTATGACGGAGGTCTCTCCGATCGTCTGAGTGGAGGAAGACTTGGGACCTTCAGAGGTTCCCGTTAGGTCTGTATCCCCACAAAATCTCAGTTCCCCGTAGAGGTAGTGTACATACTGGACGGAACAGAATTTGTTAGCACGAACCACGCGAACCATCATAACATCCATGCTATGAATACAGTCAACATCCTAGTTCCAGCAACACCTAAAATCTTGACCAAAGTGTTGCTCGAACAGGGGATGTTGCTGAAAGGGGGGTCGTGCACAGACCACTTTGCTTCCAACCCGCCCAAAAAGATGCACCAAAACTAGCATGCCAAGCAATTTTTGCCCTCTGGAAAACCCCGCTTTTCCGCTTCACCATACAAACTCAAGAGCAAATCCCCCTAATTGCCGTTGCAATTTGCATATTTGCGCTTACCCTTACAAAAAGGGGTGTTTTGAGGGTTACTGTTGCAATTATAGGGGGGTTGCTCGTATAGGGTGTTTCATTTGCAGGGGTGCTGACTGTACCGTAACTAAAGACGAAGAACAAAAGAGGAGTGAGACTCTCTCCACACTTATTTCCCGATTACTGACTAAGCTGTTAAGAGATCCTGCTAGGCTCGGACCAGGACGGAATGTCGTTATTGTTCGATCGGTCGTGGTTGTTGCTTTTTACAGCTTCACTTCTCGTGGGCTTGATACACTAACAATAATCACTGTGTCGATTAGATGGGGGTGATGAACCATGGCGACGATCTCGAGATCTGGAAGTCCAGATCTGGTTCTCTTGAACCCACTTTGGGCTAATTGGATAAACCGTATACATCCTTCTCTGAAGCCGCAAAGCAACATAAACCAGTCTCATACGAGGGCCGTGTATGTGCGTGCGTATGTGTGTTGTTTGGAGTCTGATGTCCCTAAATGGTAGGTAATCGATTGCGCAATCAGATTGGGAAATCGTAGCCTACCTAGTGTACTGCACCCCAGATGGTGTCAGTGCTGATAGAGTTGTGCAAGTGTCATCCTTGAATACCTACAACAACACTCCATTGGGCTACATATGTTTCAAGTTGGTTCTTCCTGTATCACCGTGACATTCATTTACCAGCATCTACGTACGTTACTATCGTATCGTATATCTATCTACAACGGCACAGTCAGACGCTGACGAGCTTTGCATAGGTACACATTTCACACTAGGTATGCTACAGTAAGCAATTGAGTTCTGGGCCACACAACCGGCCGGCTGACTGGCAACTACCGCAAAACTCGCCGTCGTTCCGCCGTTCAGTGGCTGTGTTGTCTACAATCCTACAATCTCCCCGGTATCTCCCCAGAGTTGACTGTGCTCCAGTAAAATTGAAGCATTTTGGACCCCAGACTTTCCCATGTCCGTCATCCAACCAATCCATCCAACGGGCGGCGTAACGGGGAGGAAGGGATAGCGGATTCACACTTGGTGTTGTTATAAGGGATAAAGGATAAATTTGGAGGAAATGTAATGCAAACAAATCCAAATACTTAACACACACACACATCACCCGGCCGGTCCAAATTTAGACAGCAACGCCAACGGAGACGGTGGTGATGGTGGGATAAACATATACATAGTACAAACCCATGTGGTTTCCATGGGATGGTGTGGGGGTTTGTGGGATAAAACAATCTGGGGAAATATGTACGGATCCGGGCATTTCAGAACTTTTAGATTGAAATGGAAGCGGAAAACGGACAGGCTGCTTGGCACCCAGACAAGACAGAAACGGAGATGGGAGAGACAGCCCCCCCCCCCCCCCAAAGCAGTGACCGTGACACCCCTGAGACAAAAAAGCAAGCCCCGTCGATCTCGCAATCATAGCAGCATCCACCGCTATCGCGGAGGAGTTGCTAGGAGAGTTTGCCGTGGCTGCAGCTGGCTGTCAGTGCGGGTGGTGTCTCGAAACGAACCCGCCTACCGCCTGTAGAGACACAGCCAGCCGCGCGACGCCTCAAGTCGTATCGAAACGCGCGGACGCCAAACCTAGCCCAAAACCAGCGCCCCGGGGCCGAGAAGGAAATGGCGGTGATAGCGATGGTGTTTGACTTTTACGGTTCATAGGTGTGTTGGAGGTGTATGTGTTTGTGTGTCTCAAACAAAGTGGCAGGAGGGTGGGGATGTGGTAGTCGTTGGATGGTTCATCGTACATCGTAGCGCAATGCATCGCATCGATCGCCTGTGGTGTTCTTAATCAAAAAGCAAAGACATGCCAGCCCTATGAAACAGTCAGTTGGTGTCTCTGTATAGGATGTGTGATGCGGTGTATCGTATCGATCCGTGTAAGAGGTGTTGTGTGGTGTTGTGGCAAAGGTCTTGTGTGCACTTTTGGTGCAAAGTGTTGGCTACCTATTGAAGGTACCTCTATAGAGATGGGGTTTACAGCAGATGATGATGTTTCGTGGTGGTTTACGACAGTATCGGCTATAAGTGGGCGCGATAGCGGGTGGATCCTAAGATCTGAAGCTATCCTGGGGCTGGTAACTACATCAACGAGACTTGTAGCGGACACTCTCGAGGCCATTTGGTGGTATAAACGAGGTGTTTCAGGTTAGTGACGGAAGAGCTTTGTAGTTATCATCAAAGAGCATCCGTCCATCTCGAAAACTCTCTGCTCATCACCGAATCGCGGTGGGGATGTAGTCATTGGCTCCCTACCTACTGTAGGTAGGTACCACAGTGTAGTACTTATCTATCCACTCTTCTTGAGGTTGTGAGGCTGCTCCGTTTCAGCTCGCGAGCTGCGGGAACCGTAATGGCGGTAGCCCATCGGCAACACGAATGGAATGATCCCTTTTCAGTTATCTTCACCATTGTCGTCGTCGTTGTCATTGTGTACATGGTGACTTCCTACCCCTGGCGGCCCCCTGCTCCGGAAGCTTCTTCCATCATCTCAACGGCATTCTCAATGCTTTCCTCTTCAACGGCTTTCCAATGTTCTGTCTCCAGCTCTTTTGCCAACAGGCCTCCTTCGCATGTCGGCCACAGCAAAGCCAGAAGAAGGGGAGATTCGATACGACTTCTTGTGGTATTAGGTCGTCGTCGCGGAAGACCCCCAAACTTACCCAAGATTAAATGCTACGCAATAAGAAGACAAGCAAGGAGAACAAGGAGAAGATTGACAGGTGCCATGGCAACCAAACAATGCATGGCTATCCGAGACGTGATTGCCAGATTCGTCGTTTCGAAGAACAGGACCGGGAGTGCGTGCTGTTCAAAACAACGGGGAGCCGTTGCCGGGCGGGTCCACGTCCTCCGCGGAGAAGGGGAGTAGGTACTTAAGTACCTAGGGTACAGGCAGTCGGCATGACGTCGCAACTTTCGCGAATCTCCCTTGTCCCAAGCGCGGACAGGAGGAAGGAGGGTTCATGTCCTGATCACCGTTCGTGCATCAGCGATGCCGTTCAATTATTCGTGGCGTCTTTTCAACCTCCTCCGATGCCTCCCGACCCCCGCTTTCTTAGCTCCGGACCGGCCTCATTCCTGTCTCAGCAGAGCCGTTTTTACGGGCGGGCGGGATGGTCCTTGGGCTGACTGCTGACGGGCCCAAATGTGGTGTGTGCTGTCCCCATTTTCTTGGCATCGATGAACGTCACCACCCTTCCCTTCCCCAACCTCCACAACCTCCGCAAAACCTACTTGAACCGCCAACCGCGGGACCCCATTTAAATCGTATCGGATTCCAAAACGGGCGCGGGCACTAAGGAGATCGATGCGCGCAATGCTTTGCATCAGTTTCAGTTGCATCGATCACTCAGGCTCTTGCTTGAACTCCAGTTTTCCACTTCTCCCGTCCTCTCTGTCCTCCGTCCACCAGTGCGGACAGGATTACCTGGTTCGTGGGTATGCGATGATGCCCAGAGATGGAGTCAAAAATTTTTGAAACTCGGACAACAAGCTGCAAGACGACCGTAGCTACAGTAGTACGGGGTAAACTAGTGTGGTAGCAAGTTTGAGGTTTCGCCGATAACCTCATTACTCTTTTTTTTTTTTTTTTTTTTTTTTTTTTTTCGGCTCAGCAGGTGAGAAAAAAAAACAACTCCATCATAGCAGCGCGCCGGCATATTTTGTGATATTTGCTAGAGTGCAGACGGGATGATACGGCGAGGGTGCATTGGGTTATTCGATCTGTTGGGGAGGCCAGTTATTCAGTTATCATTCGCACCGCCGAGCGTCAGCAGCACTCCGGCCTGATGCTTCCCTCACCTTCTTGGGGGCTAGGGCCAGCTCAGTATTCAGGTTAGATAGAGGTAGTACTACCTCTATGCAGTTTGAAACGAAGGTGCCAGTGTCAGATATCAGATATCGTGAGCAAGAAGGAAGCGCACACCGCACCGCGCACGCTGAAGACTGCCCCAAACACGGGTCTTGCGCTGGTCGTGCATCTGTGTGTAATCAACCGCAGACAGGAGCCTACACAGTAAACTAGCGAAACCTGCCAGCTATTCCTCGCCATCCTCACTAGGGCGCGCGATGCGCGCGGCGACGCACCAAGTTCTAAAACGGTGTGTGTGCATACGTACATTGTTGAGATGAGACCCTGACCTGATGAGTTTTTGTTCTCTTTCCTTCTTTCTCTTTTTTTTTTTCTTTCTCTCTCGCTCTGTTTTGGCGGGTTTGGATGCTAGGCCGGTAGAGGTGAGGTGGTCACGATGGCTTCATTCGTATCATTGATACCAGAGGCCAACCAACCAAATGGCCAACATCAGCAGGGCTACCAACCGAACAACGACAGCAACCGTTTCCTCCATCCCTTTACATACAAGCACTAAAGTCACACTATTTGCCGCGTATGGAATCTCTTTGTCGATGTGCGCAAGGGGAAGGGTTTGTCGCGAGTAAAAAAGAAAGGGCATCCGTACCCGGAACTCTTGATCATTATCGATATATCTACGCTATCAGATTGATACCAAGATATAGCCAACCGGAAGTGACGCGACAGAAGCCTCGAGTGCTGGAGAAGCAAGGGCAAAATCCCAAATTGGGAATGACATAGCCCCCCAAACAAGCAAGACAAACCTTTTCTTGTTTGTGTGATACTGACAAATGTTGTTTAGGGGTCGTTTTGCTTGCTTCTTGTTGTGGCTTGCTGCTTGACTGCCGTTTTGACAAGTTGACAGCCGTGCCTTATATTTGGCTTGCTTGCTTTTTCATCCCGCGAAACCGCGGTGCTAGACAACAGCAACGGTATACAAACAAGCTTGAAAATAGAAACGGTGTAGTGTGGAAGTGTGCATTTGGTGTGGGCGAAAGTTGCTTTTCTGGCCGCCAACAAGTCCACACACTTTTTCCCCTCCGTATCTCATTTCAGGCGGTGAGGGTGCGTGTTATTCATTTATTTATTATATTTTATCTTTTGAGGTGGGGGAGGGGGGAACAAATGTTGTTGAAGTTGAAGCAACGTGAATGCTACCTCCCACCTACCGGTCCGCTGGTGAGTCGCGAGTCGCGAGACGCACCATGAAAACGGAGGTTTCAAGGGGGGTTAATATGTAGAACGGTTCACTACTTGCAACTGACAGGCACTGACAGCCAATTCAAGCCGGGGTTATCTCGGGACACAAGACTCGGGGAAAGGATTTTGGGGCGCCTCGACTACCCATGCCGGCAAAAAAGGAATGGTGATTTTATGGGATGGACAGGGGCCTGGACGCGGAACCCTGACCGTCTGGACTTTTAACCACCCTGGAGTCCGGAATGGGGGCCATGGTGCCGCGGGCCTTGTTCCCATTGATGCCAGATAGGGTCTGCGTAGGGTCTTCCTTGACCTCTCTCTCTTCTTCTTCTTCTTCTTCTTCTTCCCCGTCGTCCCCGTTCGTCTCCGTCCGTGCCCGTGGCAGCCAGCCCTGGTCGCTTCCTCGGGGGAGCAAACGGTTCACCGACTGGTTCGCAAACGGTACATTCCGTTCTATAGTGTACAGGCTATTCATCCTGTCATCCCTTCATTCCCATGAGCCCGGGTGCGCGACACTAACTGACAGGGCTTCCATGACCCATGAGGAAGAGCATCTCTTGATTAAAGACGGCGGAAAGAAGAGGGGGATCTAGGGCGCCCAAGGGCTGCGGAACCGTATGGACGTTCGGAGCTGTCTCCTGTCATGTCCATTGCGAATGAGAGAATAAATGATTGAATGAGTGAATAAATGGTCGTGGAACCGAAAGCTCTGAGTGAGCCCGTAATTTAGTGCAGGTGGTGTCTCTTGTGCTCAGCCACCACGGGGCGCACCTCTTGACTCGCTCGCTAGCTCTCATGGTTTTGGGTTCGTGGGCCATCCAAAGGCTTTAGTTGGCTGAGCAGCAATGGTGTGTCGACTAATGCCCACCGACGGTGACTAGCAATGACTGTAATGTACCACCGGTATCACCATGACCAACGGTGCAGCTATTCGGGGACGTTGTAAGCTGAATGGCACCGGCCGGACACACACCAAAGTAATCATGGTGAAACGGGCGTATCGGGATGCGTTGTTGCTCGAGGGCAAAGGCGGTCAGAAGCACTGACAGAGGACACCGCAAGTTGCAGCGACTCAGCGACGAGAGCAGCGTGCATTGGTGTCCGTCTCCCGAGCAAACTTCATCGAACACGGAAGTGAACCGGTCCGGGCGGTAGGTAAGCACTATGATTTACACGACTAACACGGTCGGATGCCCATCCGGGGCATGGAAATTCGAGAAATGGCCGTCACATTCACATTCACATTCACATTCACATTCGCATTCGCATTCATTTCTCGCTTCTTTTGAGATTGAACGTCCAGGCCGGTGATGGACTGGTCAGTTGTCACTTTGGTCGGTCCCGTCACTGTCGTTTGTCCCGTCTTGTTGTTTGGCGCCATAGCGCCCAGACTCATCCCGTCGTTTTCTTTGGCCGTCATGGCTGTCTACCCCCCGCCGGGGCTGGGCCTTTGATAGCGGTTTGCGACTTAGGGCGCCGTCGGTCGCCCTGATAACAGCCCGAGATAGGCTGGTGCTTGTTGATGCCCCAGGTCATGCCCCGCGGCGGTCCAGCCAAAGAGGGCAGCTGGTCGAGAGATACGCAGGGCAGCGCTTGGTGCCCAGGCAAACCGCTGGTATCGCAAGAACACCCAAAAGCGGAGGCGCGAAACGAACCAAGGGCACGCAATGACTCTTTTCTTCTGGCATCACACGGAAAAGTACCCGGTCTAGGCAAATCCTTTTTGACTGGTGACTGGTAACCCAATCTATGTATTGTCTGCTTCCGTTAAGTGATTACCCGTAATTCCGCGCGCCCTGTCTTTCTCCTGTCGCGGTTACAGGCCCCGTTTCCGTTATTGCGGCCTGGGTGTGGGTTGCCAGCGGTGGGGGTATCCATCCGTACCAAAAGCAAGGTAAGGTGCTGTACGTACCTACAGTACCTTGCGAAGTGTGGAACGCAAGTTGACAGGGCATGGGTGCCGTTGTTGTTGTTGTTGTTGTTGTTGTTGTTGTTGTTCCGCTTGTTGGGCACACCCCCTGTCGTCCTTCCGTTTTCTCTGTGTTCGGCCAGGGAGGAGAAAAGGGCCAGGAAAGCGAGAGATGGGCACGAAATTCACCTGCCCCACGGTACCCACGGCATCCTGTTTCCTGGGACGTACCCTTGACACATATCTCTGCCCGCCCCTGCCCTTGTTCCCCAGCTTCTTGTTTTTGCTTCCCAGAGTCCACGAGATATAAGAAACTCACATCCCCATCTCATGGTTACCTTCAGCCCAACTTGTATCGACAACAATCCGATATCGACATCATCAAGACATTTCATCATCGCCTGATTAGCAACCAGCATCCACCACCTGGACCACCGACTACTACTATTTTCAAAACAACAACCATCACACATACACCAACAACAACAACAACAACAACAACAACAACAACAACAACAACAACAACAACAACAACAACAACAGCAACCATGTACTCTTCATATGGTTCTTACAGCTCTTCGGCTTCTTCCAGCCGATCCTCTTCCTACGGCAGCTCGTACTCCAGCATCTCGAGGCCGATGGACATTTCCCCGATCAACATCTCTTCTTCCGGAGCCGATGCCTCGTGTGCTTTCCCCTCGTGGCCCCGCCGCACCTCGCTCTGCGAATCCGAGTCTGACTACGAGCGCCCGACTTCCTTCCTTTCCGACGAGGACTTGATGGGCGATGTTTTCGACGACGATGTGCGCAGTGTTTCCAGCAGCGGCAGCTCGCCCATGCACTCTCCTCCCAAGGCGCCCTTCATGACCGAGGCCGAGATCCTTGAGATGCAGCGTGAGCAGGCCGCCTACCAGCGCGAGATGGTCAGCTTGCTCGTCAGGGAGAAGGAGAGGCGCAAGGCCCAGGCCAAGCGTCAACGCAGCGCCGGCAAGGCTTCTTCCAAGAAGAGCACCAAGAGCAAGCTCAGCGCCATGACTCCCATCGCCGAGTCTGAGTAAAAAGGGCAACACGATATCGGATGCACGATGCAGCCTGTGCCGTGGCGATTGCAACCTCATTTTTATTGAGTAAGCTTACACTGGTTTGGCAATGCCTCCATTTGGCATGCATCCGTGCTAACCATAACTCTTACAGTACCCCGTTTCTGGCTTTTCGACCGCTTTCATTTTCTTCTTCTGCAACCACCAGCATCAGCATCAGCATCGTCGGCATTGTTTTTTTTCTTTTCTCATCAACACCACCGTCATCATCGTCAAACCCCCACGGGAAAACGGCCTTTCCCCCCTCCCCCCCACACCGAGGGTTCGTGTGTGTAACGGGCCCAAAATCCTGCTCTGCATCCTCCAATGCGGATGCGCGGATCACCCACCGGCTTGTGCCCCGGCTCCGGCAAAAACCGTCAAAGGTGCCCTGTGCGCGCGGCTATAGGGATCATCTCTGCAGTCGATCAACATCCTCAAAGCAATCCCATTCATCCCATCCAATTGACCGGCCACGCGACGTCACTTGGCTGGCTCCGAATGCCGCTCCATTTTTTCCATCTGAAAAATGCCGCGGCACAATTCCACCTCCGGACCGACTCACGGGACTGGGGGACCCTTGTGTGGAGACACCGTGATCAAGTGTGACGGGAGGACGGACAGTCGCCCGCGCACCGAGTCACACATGACTGGGGGGTCCAACAAACATAGCAATACCCCGCGAACTCAACAATCAAGGCCTTCCAATCATTCCTCCCGACCAACCACAACCCAGTCGAAACCCGTCAAAAAGACCTGGCCCTCTGCCTCCAAAGGACACAAACACACGAAAAGCCTTCGCACTTGGGAAAGTCGCAGCTGGACTGGACTTGCCAAGGCATGGTCCAAATAATTGATCGATGGATGCATCGATCTCATTTCCCGCTCCTGGCCCACGTCGTTTCTCCTGTGCAACGCCACAATGTCTGCTCCCACGTTTTACAGCACGCCGCGCCTTGCCGCTGGCTGCTTCAAACAAAGAAGAGGACGGGCAGGTCTAGCCGGGTCGGACTGAGTCTGTGATACTCGGCCCCGACATCCATCTTTCTTTCATCAAACATCCAACCCCTAGCGGGTTTCACTTCGCTTCTCCATTGTCTTGAGCTCTTAGCTTTTCTTATAATTACTTTGATACGACTTCGCATGGAACACACATACTACACACAATCAGGGCGCATCGGGTTGGGGCAACAAAAAGTTTCTTTTAGCATTTTTCGGAGTTTCCTTTCTGTTTTCCTTTGTTCTAAGCGCGGTTGCAATTGATACCCCCATTTGTTTTTGTTTTTCCTAAGCATTTTCAGGCAGTTTTTCTCATGATATTGATACCCTATTGGAATTTGGAAAGGCATCATTTGCCTGGAGGAGTTAGTTTACTGAGCATTTGAAGTCGATACTACGTCAGTGGTTGCTTCTATAATTGAAACTTCGATCATCGTCATCAACATAATTATCTGATTTCTTCCTTGCTTGCTTGTGACATGGTGCCTGCTTCACTCTTTGCTATCCACATGTCTCTCATCTTCTCTCCTTTGGGGACTTACAACATCAAAGGAAGATGCCCAGTCAGTGAAGGCCATACAAACTCCTTCTGACCGCAAGCAAGGACCTCATTCCCCAGTCAGTAGGTAAGTATCAAGGCACCATTCCTTTCTCACAGCGACAACGCGATTATGAGGGTCTCATGCTAAGAGAAAGAGCAAGTTCGACAGGACAAACCATCATCCAATAACCTCGCCAGCTTCCCAGCACATCCATGTGACAGATCTCCCAAGTCCAAATTTTCGCCATCCCACGGAAATCCTGCCTAGGTATATGAACATCGCCGTCGCGTTCATTCACAAAGGTTATAACAGATTCGACAACTGCCTTTTTTTTATTCTCTCTCTACACTGTCTACCTACTAACATGCCTGGACATTGGCATTCACACGGTAAAGTCGATGTTTCTCTGCCGAGTCCAGTCTCCACAACCTCTTTTAAGGTAGTATACAAGAGGAGTGTAAGTCAATCCTCTTCGTCTCAAATATCTCAAATCTTCCAATGCTCACAATACGTGAAAGCAAAGAATTTGGCATCACTATCACCACCACCATCATCATGACCGTAGCAGTAGCATACCGCCAACGCAGCCAATCCAGCTACACCCGATCCTTCTGCTACTATAGTGTACATATAACTCCCACACATGACCGATCTTAGGTCACCAGCCTAACCCTGCGATTTATCCTTTCCCCGCCAAAGGCCCGCTTACATCATTCAAACCTGAATTCCGCACTTGTTTGCAGAATCTGGTAAGGCGCAGCGGGTAAGGGGCTCGAACAACCTTTTTTTGGAGGGGCTACTTCATAGGTATTGTTTGATGGTGATCGACAACCAAATGGTGAATTTTCAAGTACAAGTGGATTTTCAAAACAGACGGAAGGACGCCGCGCTCGTGCGCTTGGACGTTTGAACGTTTACCAGGAGACTGGTACCCTTGCACGCTTTGACGAGCGGACGGACGGCAGTGATAGTGACGAATCCCCGGATCAGCATCGGCAGATGTGGGCAGCGAGGAAATGGATAACGGGCAATATGCGGGCAGCGGAAGGGACTTGGACGGGGCTCTTTAAGTTAGATTAGGGTTTGGGTTGAGTAAGCGTTGAGTAAGGCATCGTGAGCCCGATATGATGGTTGGTTTGTAGATCGGTCCCTGTTGTCGTCCACTTTTTTGAGGGTTGCATAACTGAACCTTTTTTCTTTAGATCTACCTTCCCTCCCCGTTGCGTTCTTCTACATACCTGCCCGCCTGGATCCAGATGGCGTTTGTGGTACTTAACACCACTTGTATTTTCTGCTCTACTTGAAAGTCCCCCCGGGGATAAGAGACTCTTCTCCCAAGCCACGTTCACACTGCGAAAGTCTCTCGGCGATGGCGATGCAGGTGGAGTACATGCTTTACCTAGGCTATTTTAGCATACCCTACCTACCTCTAGTGTACACATGGAAAGGAGACCCTGAATCCTGAATGAGGAGCTAGGAGCCAGGAGAGGCGGGGACGGAGATCAAAATGGTCGCCGCGGACAAAATTCCAGTCCCCCCGTTCCGGAAATCTCGAGCGCGTAAGTTCCGCTAGAGTTTTGCGAAACGAGAAATTTCCGCAAGCTCGCCTATCTTGGATCTACCATAGTATCTGGCCGCAAGTCCAGCCTGGCTCCAGAACTCGAGCCAAGGGCCTAGAACCATTCATCCATTCCGCCCTTGTTGCACCCAAGATATTAATGCTTTGGCGTTGATGCCTGACTTCGTGATCCGGCGTGGAGGTTCGTGATTGTGACCACCCGATTGATAGTCTAGACTATAATACGAGAGAGAAAAGATTTTCAGGAACCATCAGGACCCTGGAGCCATGTTTCTCCTTTCATTGGCTTGGTTGGCTTGGTCAGCTTGATCGGATCTGGTCGGAGAGATTCCACGATGCCCCAGATACACTACATTACATTAGGAACACTTTTAAGGACAGACTCCACGTCCTCGCATCTCCGTTTTTTGTCACAGTCTCCCTGGTGGTGTACTTACTGCTCTGTTGGCAGGGTAAATACAAGAAAACGGTCGTCTCTTTGCCCCCTCAACTTCTCACCTCGTCTGGTTGGGCTTTCCACCTGTTTGGCCAAGAAGCCTATCTCGGACAGAATCTCAAAGCACTGGAGAAAACAAAGTGGACCCGATATCAGGCTAAAGTATGCGGTTCCCATGCCGTCATGATGTGATGTGGGTGTGGGTTGTGATAGAGGCCACTGGCTGCACAAGCGCCCGCGTTAGTGATCAGTCACTTGACCTTTTAAGTCTTCCGAGAAATTCAACGTTGATAGTACATGAGCGGACTACTTTTGAACTGTAACATCCCCCTATGCTCCAAATGGTGTGCTAAACGTCGATAAGAATGGTTCTTGGTTGACTGCTTGGTGAATTCAAACCCAGTGCAACTGGAGTGACGGGTCACTGGAGTTGATTTCTTACTATCTTCGCTAAGAGGATCTATAGCCCCATGGATGCTGTTTCCTCTTTGAATCGTTCGGCTAGTTCTTTGCAGTCGACCAGTGAGACTCAACCTTTGTACAACATGCAAAAGTTAGTCACGAAGTCCTGGAAGTAATCGGAAAAAAAAAACTTCTCTTCGAAGAATTCAGCTCGGACACGTCGGTCGAAGCCGGTATATTAGATTCACAATCGAGACTCGATCAAACAATGCACTGATCGATTGTCATGGCCTATCTAGACCACTACAAAACAATACCTCTAGCCCGGCGTACAGCCAAGTGTGACTCCTCTTACTCTATGTCTTTCACCGCAACGTCAGCGAGCAGAAAACGTGCCCTTGTGACTGAAGGCGAGGATCGAGCTTCAAAACATAGGTGAGGAAGGCTAAAATTCTCTGCCCAGATGTTTTTTTGTGCCCGTTATGGCAGTCAGATGTCAGACACCAAGTGACAGGCACAAAACTGACCGAGGCAATGGAAGAGCGGAAACACCGACTGGATTCATACTTTACCGCTCGGCGCCAGCAGCCGACCAACGTGGTTGAGGACGATATCTTGAAGCATCCATAGTGCGTGTCTCGTGTCGTCCTGGCGAATAGTTCGGTATACACATAACTCACCCAACATGTGCATCCTTATCAGTAACGACAAGGTGTGCGCGGGATACACTGTGAAGCCTGCACAGGTTAACAGGTATCCCGCAACCAGTATTATCCTAGAATAGATGTATTGATTATCATTAACCCGATCCGTACCGTACCCCGGACCTGTATTAGATCCCTTGCGGGTATGCCCGCCGCGCTGGCGGCTGGGTCGATCATGGCACGGTTCACCATAGCGAGTCCGACCGGCGATCTAATGCGAGCTTAGGGGTGGCTTTTTCAATGTTGCCACTGAGCTGACCTGCGGTGAGACGAGGCGAGACGGGTCTGTATCTTTTTTCGTAGCGTAGAGCTTCAGGAAAAGTCGAATGCCCCGAGGATTCAAATAGACGTTCTTCACCGGGATGCTTTCTATCTCAAACTTGCGGTATATTTTCAGACTCGCAGTAGTCGATCAGTGTCGTCATTTCTGATGCCCGAGTTGTCAGTCATTGTCAAGCCTCCAGCTAGGTACCAAAATAACGTGGTCACTGACATAGTTCTGCTCGCTACCGCATAATCTGCGCTTGGTGACTCGGCACAGCCATTCCAGCCGGCTGGTAACGGCTCATTGTGAATATTGAGTGATAGTGATGGATCACATAACGGAAGGATTCCAAGTAAGATTAGACGAGGGTTCAGCTCCGCAAGCCGAAAGCTGATCGGGGCTTAGCAAAGCATTACACTCACTGTATCTTCATCTCTCCGGCTGGGGCTGGTGTCCTGAGCGCAGAGGGGAGAAAATCAATGGCAAGGAAACGAGCTCAGAGGCAATACATGGCGATCACTTGCTTTCTATTTCGTGGTCATGCCCACACGGAAGAAAAAAGACAAAGGAGCAGGCGTGACTTTCTTGAACACATGCAACGGGAAACGTTGTGTGGTTGCGTCTCTTCAATATCGCCATGGGCACTGCTTCATTGTACGAACAGCAACGCCACTGTCTAGATAACTGGGGTATTTGAGAAACTGAAGTAGAGATAGGGCGGGCGTAGATGGCAGGCATCTGGAGGCATTTCGTGTCCAATGGATACCTAGGTACTTAGGTAGGTAGAAAACAAATGGAATATGGAAGGGAAAGTACTTGTTGGAAGCTTGACGAGTAGAGTTACGGCAGGCAGCTTCGAGCTTTGCTTACCTCATGTGCTCCTGCAGCCCGCGTTCTCTTCAATGTACGTAGGTTGTGCATCTGCGGGCGGGAGCACACAAGATTACACGACGGGAAGGAAGGTACAGACGAGATACACGAAATGATTCAGGGGAAAAAGGACCTTCCTGCGCTCGGACACCTTCAATGCATGTCGCTCGAACTACAGTTTCGTCGAAGGAGCGATTAACTAAATCCAATCAACTGGTTGAGGGCAAAGAACTGAAGAGAAGCAAAGAAGGGTTTAGTTTGTGTTCTTGGCCTCCAACTAAGCAACGCCGCATGCCATATTAGGGCCGTTATACTCTTCTTTGCTTTTTCCACTCTATGATGAGCGGACGTGACGGTTTATCCCGTCCGCAGACATCGCTCTTTCTCTGCATCTCTCTCTCTCAACACCTCCAAGACAGCATCGCGATAACCCCACGCTTCTTCCATGTCTCGGACGATCACTCTCGTGTCTTACAGTTCTTGGTGTTGCCGCTTCACTTCTTGTCCCATGGTCTCACGGACAACTCTTACTCAATACAGGGCAAAGGGAGCTGGCGTGGTAGCCTCAGGTCAAGGTTCGAATGCCACGCAGCGTTCGTTGCTTGGTTTCTGTGTTGCATGTCTCTTCCTCCTTCTTGTGTAGGACGACAGCAATCCATACGAAGGGGAACGTTCACTCCATGTCAGGCACGGACAACTGAAGATCCTGCCGTGTACAGGTTGAACGAGGTACGGGCGCGGGGGCGTTACGGATGCTTTGATCACTTGCAGAGGGGCATACCGATAGCTACCTTTTTTGAGCTGCACTTGCTTGGACGGAGAGCAATGAGCTGGGGCCGGAAGTGCAGTTATCGCCGTTACTGCTTGCGGATATGTGGTAACCCGTCAAGCAGAGAGTAGTAGGTAACCTCGCATGCCAGGTCACAAAATGCGGCCGTGACATACTTAATCGTGGGTGCATCGTGTGCGGCACCGGAGTAGTGCGAGGCAATGGTTGGTCTCCCAATCTCTCTTTCAAGTCAGGAACCGGAGCGGGGAGTTCATCATCCTGTCTGCGTAACCTGAGCAAAGCTGCAAAATCATAAACCCTCCAAGGTTGGTGTTTTCGTCGAGTTGCTGCCCCGTGTCACACAGGACCGGACGCCTGTCAAATAAAAGCCTGACAAGCTATGGGAGCCAGTGAACCTCGTCCAGCCCATCATTAATCAGTCGGCTCGTTCTAGACGATATGCCCCTCGCGATTGATCGGCAACATAGGCGTATCTCCTTGGGGTTGAACTTGGATTCTGGGCTTTGGAGACAACACCTTCAAGGAAACGTGGGAAAAAAGGGCCAAGTGGATTCCGCACATGCCCTTGACAGGGTAATTCCAGGCAGATTCGGTTCGGCGGCATCGAGGATATCTGGAATGCGACTGTCCTGCCTTTCAAGATTGTGGCCACCTCTTCGGCATTGATGCTTTGGCGGGATCAGGGTTGCAGTAAGACTGTCAGGGTCCGTGGCGTAGAGAAATGGTGGTTTAATCTATAGTACTCGGTTAAAGTGCAACAACATCAGCCTTCATACCGGACCTGCATTCGAGGGTGCTGGTGATGATGGGTTGATAGGTAGAAGCAGTCCTATCAGCTTCATCACAAACACAATGAAGTTCACGGACGGGGGTTTCACATCTGCAGCCGAACCCTCCACTGCCCTCCTCTTCAAAGTGATGACTCTAGTGTCGAGTGTGTAGGGGACCCGATCACATTCCCATGAGTGATGCCGCACAGATACCGCTCAACCGGTCCAGGTTTCGCAGTATTGGGTATATCGTGAGCTCATTACAAGTCCAGGGTCGGACCTGGAGTACATGGGCGTCTATAATGTGGTGTACTGAGAGCTTGAATGTAGTGTGTGTGTGTGGATGTGTACCAAGAAAATGCCGATTTGCACAGTACAGAGAATAGGTGAAGTGAGGGTGAATCCTGGGCAATCGGCGCCTATTTGAGATCCTCGCTTGTTGGAGACTTGTTCGGATTTCGGATATGAGCAGCGGCCGCCTATTGCGTTTCTCAAGAAATGGGAGGGGTTTCTTTCCCAGCACACGACGAACAACTTGCTCGAGTAGTCCGTGATGAACAAAATTACCTGTGATCCTTATCACCTAGGTAGATAGCCATGCCGGCTCGCTCTTCGTAATGTGATATAATCCATCACCCCGAGTTCGGGCGAGATGGGGACTTGTGTGGTGTTGGAGAATGTCGTACATGGGTTCCTGATTTTCTGCATCTGTCTTGGCATTTGATGTTCCACGGTCCCAGCCGTGCCGGCCAATCGACGCAAGGAAGAATCGAAGCATCGGCCAGCAGTTTTAGCCGATGTATTGTGAGATGTGGGTTGTAACTGGCCGGTTGCTATGGTCGGTTGTCTTTGAGGAAGGAGGCCATGGAACGAAAATGATGACGCTATGAAATCCTGACAGCATTCAAAAAAATGAAAGGCAGCGAGGAAGGAATGATGGCGGACGATAGCGGATGGAGGGACGATAAGATCAATGCGGATGATGAAGCTGGATTGAAGGATGTCGGTGGTCCAGGTCAGGAAGGCGAGGGGAAGGTGATGACGGAGCTGATTGGTGTGTCTGTGCAGGGACATGCTTGCCAATCAACCGCGAGGGCGCTTAACTGCTTGTGCCTTCCTCAAGCCTTCCGCCCCTGGACCTCCTTCCCCACTTTTCATCGCTGTCTTTTTGCTGGCCAACCAGACGCCGACTTTGCACTTTTTCTCTCTCTTCGAGTCCCTCTTCTGTCACATCGCACCAGCAAGTCGAAGCCAATTGATGCTGTGACTCGGCCAACCTTTATTATAAACTAACAATTGCCATTATTGCTGTTTGGGCATACCAGTGGCGCTTCCTCTGGTGCAAGTGGAGCAGCCTTGAACTCGATACTTGACTCCACGTCCTCATGTCCTCGACGACATGCCCTTGAGAATGGAATGGATGGCCACCCACGCGACGGACGATAGGATCGCTGAAGATACAAGGGTCCTGGAGCTGCTCTGGATACCACAGCTGAGGTGCAGATCCCGCCGCTGCAAAGCAACCCTCGACTGGCCAGCTTGACAGTGGTTTTTCATGCTTCTTCACAGCACACGGCAGCAGAAACAACATAAACAGCACCAAAGCAGTAAGCAACACGCAAGGTACCGCTCGCTATGTGTGTGTGTGTATGTGTGTTCTGTGCCTTGAACCAAACAGATCCATCCGTGCAGTACTCTCCCCGGTACACCGAGTGGTTGTACAACCTCTCTTTGGACCCCGACACAGTACGCCATGCCACTGTTGGGCGATGCCTTATACTTACCCACATGTCCCATCTACACTATACCTGTAACGACTGGCGATTCTCCAGAGGCTCGGGTCCCCAGTTCGGCTACCTTAGCTAACCGCTCCAGACCCTCCCCAGACTCCGAGTGTCGAGACCGCGGAATCACGACGACGACGTCAGGTGACAAGGGCAAGCCATCAAGGACTTCATTGTGGCAAACATCAAAATTCTAAATGGGAACAGTAGTACGTCGAGAGTGGACTCGCCAGAAGCAGAGGGCTGCTCAATATGGCGGAAATTTGAACCATTGCACATGCTACCATTGACACACATCGATGCCCAGATCAATATCCTCTCGCCCACTGACAGTTCCACGTTGATGTTCCTCAAGGTATTGTTGACAGGGGGGCTCGTTAGTTTACACAGTGCCCTCTCGCGTCGTGCCCCTGTTGCGACCTAACCAGATTTTCTCCAATTGCTAGAAGTGGGTGAGTGCCGCCTCGCTAGTGTTTCCAGCTTTTCCATCCAGGACAGCCAGAAGGCTAGACGGGCAGGCCAGCGAGAAGAGAAGATGGCAATGGCAAGACGAGCCGGTCCGCATGCGCTTCCAGATTCGCCCTCTGAAATCTCGAAACGGCATGGATACAGAGGACAGAGGTCAGAGGGCAGAAAACGACTAGCAGGATAGGGCCGCCATTCACAGGATTTCACGTCCTCCACTATGAGGACGGACACGCCAACGTAACAGCAGCAAGCCTAGGAGCTAGCTACTAGGTAGGTTGGAAACCTGGAGTCAGCTCCTCACTGGGCAAGGGTTCATGTTAAGGGTGCTTTCTCATGACACGCACTGTCCAGTGACAGCTCGCATCCGCGTCCTGGGACTCTGTGCTAAGCGCTCGTCAGGTTGGCCCGAACTTGTTGCTGCCACACACCACCACTCACGTTGGTGCAAGTCACAGGCATAATCGTCACCTTTTTTTTCTTTCTGCTTTTCTTCCTCCTTACCCGCTGCCAAACCAAGCCTCTGCTCTGCGCATCGAGCTGTTTGCTGTTTGGGATCAGCAGACAAGAGCATCATCTCGCAGCACAACAAGCGCCTGGCACAGCATCCAGCTGGGGCTTCCTTGGACCATCATCCCACTCGATTCTTTCTCTCCTCCATGACCTTAGGCGAGTGAGCTCGAAGACAGGTCCTCTTACCGCTACCCTTCCCCCCTCGTCCTCATCTGAACAGAACTACAACCTTTTGCCATACACGCCTCCTGCGTCTCCTACGCCGTGTATCTTGTTTCCAGAGCCGTTCCCGTGCAACCCTACCATTTCCAGATCTTCTATTCCCACTCGCCTTCGACTTTCCCCTTCCAACCGACGCTCGCTGCACCTTAGCAAAGGAAGAAACCCCTCTCAACATATAGCTTTACCCCAGACGAAACACGATTGCCACAGTAACCGCCACCGACTCCAACGAAACAAGTCCGTGTAGGCCGCAAAGTATAGCCTCGAGCTCCGTACTCTCGGCGTGCTGAACGTGGAGGAACAGCTTGGGCGGGAACAGACAGCATAGTGTCCCATGTGATGACTAGGGTTCGGATTGTGTAGCCTCGCCACGCGTCCTGGTTCGTTAAGAAGTCCCGGAGGGTGATAGCTCCCTACCGCTCGGTATGTTCTACACTTGTACGCCGTCCATTCCCGGTCCGCACCTTGAGAGTTCCGGGTTGGCCATTTTATGCCTGTACCGAAAAGGTACATACGGCCTGCCGCCCATGCAGTCTCCCGACTAACATTTTGGTCTCAAGATCTTCGACCCAAAGGACATAATAACTCCTCCCCACATATCTTGTCACCATGTCGGTCCCCGGACACATCTCGAGAAGCCGTACCGGCTCGATTCCAGCCTCATCCAAGGGACGGACTGCCCACATGCAAGACTTCGCCATGGCTCCGACTCCGAGCGCTGTTCCCCGGTACTTCGAGCCGTGTGCGGCCACGGCCTCCATGTTCCTCTACGCCCAGGGCAGTTCGATTGTATGCTGCCACCATGACAGCCTGTCGATAGAGAGGAGATTCGCCCGCCATACCGAGGAGGTGCAGCTATTAGCAGTCGACAATCTCAGTGAGATGGGGACAGGGAGGTTGGTGGTCAGTTATGATGCCGGACAGACTGCGATTGTATGGGACCTCATGACTGGAGATGAGGTCGCAAGGTTCGCTTCGTATGAAAATCTCACCTGCGCTGCCTGGATGCACAATGGCAATGTTGCGTTTGGTGGGTATATCTTTGCTTCGTCTATCATATAAATATGGCTAACTGGGCGAGAACAGGCAACATTCAAGGCAATGTGATCCTTTTTGAACCCACTACGTCTGAGCACATTTCCGCAAGAACCATTGATCAAATCGCCATCACAGCTATTGCCCCGGCAGCAGATTGCAGGACCTTTGCGATTGGGTAAGCACAAGGTTTCTAGGGTATCCTTAAGAAGGTGCCGAGACTGACTGTCTTGCTGCAGATATCAAAACGGCTCACTCTTGATCGCAACACTTCAGCCTAGGTTCACCATCCTTCACAATCTTACTACCTCGCGCGGGCCTTCTCCCATCGTAACACTGGCATGGCATGCCTCGTCTTCACGGCAGAAGTCGGACATGTTGGCCGTACAAACACACGATGGCGATCTCCGTGTATGGAGCGTTTCCAAACAGTACAATGCCGATGACCCGGCAAAGGTGGTAAGAATTTTGAAAAGGACAGAAAA